CCATGCCTTACATTTCTATATTTCTTTCCGGGTTCGTGGGTCGATCATGTTTTCGCCCGACCAGGAGGCCCCAGGAGGCCCCCGCAACTCGGAGCTCTGAGACGCCGCGCTCGAGGTGGTCCGGCCCGTTTCGCCTGAGTCTTCCTCGCACCACGTTTCGCCCGAGACATCGTCGCAACTCTGGGGTCCGAGATGCCGCGCGCGAGGTGGTCCAGCCCGTTACGCTGGAGACATCCTCGCAACTCTAGGCTCCGAGATGCCGTTCGGGATGAAGAGGAGGTGGAGGAGGAGGAGGAGGAGGAGGAGGAGGAGGAGGAGGAGGAGGAGATGGAAGGGAGAAGGAGGAGGCGGATGATGTGCATGAGGGAGCAGGCAGGAGGAGGGGGAGGCCCCAGAGAGCTTCAGGAGGCCGCAGGACGCCCAGGACAGGCCCCAAGGGGTCCGCAGGAGATTCCCAGGAGGCTCCCAGGAGGCCCCAGGAGGCCCCCTATCAGGACGTGTCACATCCGGTGTCGATTCGTTGATTTTATCTAACAGCTTTTGCTGATAGGTTTCTAGTGGGGTCAAAAGAGAGCATCTGGACTCCACAGGGGGGTCTGGGCGGGTGCCGGGGAGGAGAACCGGGAATCGTTTTTCGCCAACAGTCACACACTTCGTGCTCTTCGACCTCCCAGGGGGTATTTCACTCGGCCCCTTTCGCGGGATTTTGTGGGGATGTCTCAGGCGGTTTGGCCATTTTCTCTTCCAACATGTTTCGCTTTCGGAGCAGATTTGGAGGACGTTCGCGCCCAGTTTGCGGGGATGTCTCAGGCGGTTTGGCCGTTATGATGCTGGGCATCTGTCGTTTTCGGAGCAGTTTTGGGAGCTTTGCATACGGCCGACTTGTTCTCTCCGGCGTTATGTAACGCAAGGGCTCCCACGAGGGCGCGAAGTTATTCGCGCTTCGCGCTTCGCTGCCCTCGTTCCTTATCCCCCTCCTCCTCGTCCTCCTTTTCTCCCTTTGGGGGGGCGGCGCGAGAGCGCGAAGTTATTCGCGCTTCGCGGAGCGCGAAGCGCGAAGTTGGAAGCCCTAGTGTAACGTAGCGTGACGTTGCGTAACATAGCGTAACGTTTTGGCACCGCGTAGTATCCATGTTCATGCAAGTGCTCGCCTGCATCGAGAGGCCGTCCTTCCACAGAGCGTTATCAGAACGACCGCTCAGTTCTTCAGCGTGGCTTCCAGCAGCAGCGCTGATTCGTCGTTTTCCTACGACAAGAGCGACACGTAGGCGGGCCCATTGCCACGATCGTGAAGCCGCCCGTGGTTCCCGCAGCGACAGAGGAGCCGAAGGACGTTGCCGTCGAATCCCATCCGAGTGGGAGTGCGACGGTCGTCAGCAGCGACGCCGCCGTGATCGGCGCTCCTCGGCTCGACGGCCTCGTCGCGCAGGCACTTAGCGGACGAGCAGCAGCGAGTGGCGGCATGGGTTCCTCAGTCGGGGGAGCGTAAGACCCGGGTTTGCCAGGACTCGGGTTCGCCATCGTTTTTTGACGACCGCGCCTCGGATTTTGACGAGGAGGAGTTTCGTGGGATGTCTGCAGCGGGAGGCCTCGTCAAAATGCAGGCTCGGCCTCGTCATTTTTTTGACGACCTCGTCGGGGATTTCCGAGTCCCCCGTACCCGGGTCTTACGTCTCCCCGACTCAGGTGGTGCCGCCCCAGCCCCTGAACTTGGATCTGGAGCCATGCCTCCTCTCGACGACGACCGGTTCCAACGCGGAGACCCATGGCTTGGCGCGTGGAGTGGATCTCGCCTGCCACAGACCGCGAACAAAATCTGACACTTCGGGCAGGTCGAGGCACAAGTGGCTATTTTGTTCCGGGCTCGCCGCAGTCAGTTTAGCCTACGCCTGGCACGCGTCGGGCTGACTGGCATTTCCTCGAAGATCGGCTCGGATATTCAAATGCTGATGCCGCAGCTCACATGGCAGACGCCACCAAGACTCTCCAACGCACGGCCGAATCAATCATTGAAACTATTCGTACCACGCTTCACGGAGAGCTCCAAGCTGCGTTTGGGCACATCTCTCATATTTCTACCCCTCATCCCTCGCTCATGTTCTTCCTCCTCCTCCTCCTCTTCCTCCTCCTCCTCTTCGTCCTCCTCTTCCTCCTCTTCCTCCTCCCCCTCCCTCTCTCTGCGGTCAACCCGCGTAGTAAGCATGATGCACTTTCCAAGGATACCCTTGCATCCTTCTCCTTCGGCCCATCCTTGGCCGCTTTCGCTGGCCGCGCCCCGCCCGCAAAGTGTCGACATGCCTTCTGAGGCCTCTGCATCCTTATCGTGCGTCCTTATCCTACGGGATGACTGCGCTCCCTCCTCCCCCCGTGAGGTCGACCGCGCTGGCCCCAGGGACGCCGACGGTGGAAGAGCTCGGGGACGTCGCCAGCTCGGAGCAGAAGCTGGCCTACTCGCAGTGGTGGCCCCGCGATGCCGCAGTGGCGGCTGGCTCTTGCTCAG